GCCAGCTCAAATACAATCCAGTATCTCACCTGATCACGGTTTTAATTCTGTAGCTCTCTAAGTTTTAGCTGAATACCGGGGAATGTGGACTGTGCAGCTTTCACAGTAATTGGCTTACATCTTCCAGAACTGCGATGTGTACAATGACATACCTGTGTTTAACTCTGTTGCAGATTATAAAAGAATACAAAGAAGTTGGTGTCCGTGTCTGTATTGCCAGCTGTAGTGGTGAGTTTGGGCCTGGGGGGAGCGGCAGCGTTTGTGAGCTTTATGGGAGAGATCGTGTTTTCTCTCTCTCCCTCTGGCCCCAAATTTTCTGCTGGCAGGTGCCTCAGTAGTATCAGCACTTACTTCACATAAAATTGGATTCAAGGAAAAGCAAGCCCATATACATTAGAGCCTTCACCTTAATGAAAGTAGGGCACTGATGTAATGAGTTCTGTGAGGACTAGATCTGCTCCCATTTATTCCAGCTGGCAAATTGTAAACGCCACACCAAACTTTGCATCTTGAAATTGTTGTAATAATGCAATAAGGAGAAAAGCCTGCAACGTTCTAAGTTTCTGATATTTGGAATTGTAGCATCTTCTGCCAAGAACAGGCCTCTGCGTATGTCTGGATAAGAGAATTACCCGTTTGGAGTAGAAGTAGCATGTGATCCACCTGGCTATTTTAAATGTTTTAAGTAATAACAAGTAAGGGAACAAGTTGTCGTCGTCTTCCTGAGATACCGTTGTCTTCCATCTTTGTACTTCAGTTTATGCACTGATGCCACATTTGGTTTTTATTTTGTAGGCCCTGTTATGAATGAGCTGACAAGGCTGAAGTTTTTTGAAGACACTGTAACGAGAGAGTCGCTGTTTCACAGTATTCATGATGCTGTCCTTGCTTGCCAAGTGAAAGACAGGTCTGCTTCACAGACTGACTTTGACCTCTGAAGAGTGGCATCGAGCAGAACGGAAGCCAGATTTACGCTGATGGAGACTCTGAATATTTGATTTGCACAGTTTAAAGAGAGCCTAAGGCTATTTGTATCTACGGGTATAGGGTGGTGCTTATTTTCTGTAGGAAGAGTGGATAAGGAATTGGAAGCCTTCGTGCTCTTGAATTTTTTCCTTCAATCAGGGTATAGCCTTCCAATGACGTACAAGCACAAAATCATGCAAGATGAGAAAATGCAATGTATTCTGCTACAGTTGGAATCTGATAGACAAGGTGACATTCCTGTTCCTGTTGAGAAAATGGGCACTTTAACTCACTACGAGGTGGGATCTTGCAGGAAATAACCGTTCTGCAATTGCAGTGCACTGTACCAGTGTCTTTAAAGAACTGTCTTAAATGACTTTTAAAGCCTGATGTCAACATCTGCAGACAACAGATTCATATAAATTATAATAATCTGCCAGCTGGATTAATGAATTCACACTGGTGGCATTTAGCTGCTCCTCTTCTTAAACTGGGTGGTACAGTTATTTTTTTTAAATATCTGACCTGTCTCAACTATACTCAGCTCTTCATTGCCTGAACGTTTTCACTCTAAGTGAACCTCAAATTAGAAACTCATTGTTTAATTATTACATTATCTTCATGGTACTTTCACTGCCAAAATCTAATTATGCTTTCTAGAAAAGAATACAGTTGATTTTAAGCTAAAATTAGTTTAGCATCAAAGTCTGAAGACAAAACTGGTTTAAGGCAGGAGTGAAGCCTATTAAAATTAAATTAAGACCTGATGCCCTATATGCAGTCTCTTTAAGCTGGAATAAAAAAATAGACAAGGTCTAAAGTCTCAGTGGTCCAAAAAAAAAAAAAAAGTACTTTTCTGTTGCCTGAGATATCTTCCTACCAGCAGTGCCGCTTCTGCCTCAGCCTTTAAGTGCTTTGAGAAACAGATTTCAGTAGAACTCAAAAATGTTATGTGTTTGGGGTTTTTTTAAAAGAAACGGTAGTGTGGGTTTTTTTCTGTTGTCTTCACAACCTGGCGGCTATGGTACTGCTTAACTTCAGGTGTGAGATGAAAAACATGGACGTGTAACTCAAGCAAAAGAATAAAGTCTTCAATGCCTGTATTTCCCTGACAACAATCACTATGAATCTGAGCAGAAGTAGGAACCTGAAAGTCTCTCTCTGCAAGTTATGTCGACAGCACAGGGGAAGTGGAGCGTCGGTCATGTCTCATTTAGCACCCTCAAATCTAAGGTCCTGTGCATAAGGGAATTCAAACCACCTCCTCTCTTCTGAATGCAGAACTTAATACTTTTATTTTGCTTCCAAGCTCTGTTGCGATTAGGGCTTGCTTCAGGTAAACCAAGTTTCCCAAGAACCATGGGCAGTTGGGGAAGATGTTTTCTTTCCTCAGACTCCCCTGCCAATAGGGATAGGAAGCTTTCTGCATCAGAAATTACTGCTTAGCTGGAGTTCAAAGGATGAATTGAATGCATGTTAACACATTGTGCGTGTTTATTTAAACAACTTTTGGTACATTTTATAATGTTAACTAGTTTAACAAGGCTTTGTATCTCCATACAGTATATTTTTCTACTTTCAGCTTGTCGCAGCTTCAGTTTTTAACTATGTAGCCTCTTCAGTTCATGTCAAAATCCTGTCAACTTCTAAAATAAAGTGATGATCATGACTTGTCAAAATCTTCCACTTTGTCTTGGCGAGACTCTGTACGTGGGACAAGCCAAGGTCCCTGGATGCAAGTGTCTGTTGCTAAGGGGTGGGCTAGGTAGGGTTACCACCTCCTTGCAGGTCCTCCCTGCTGCTCAGGCTCCTGCTCCTCAGCCTCCTGGCTCCCCTACCCCCATGAAGCCCTCTCCATGCCAGGCCTCACGATGATGCAATTAATGCTGCATTTCCCATCCTGGCAGCAACAGCTGCACTTCCTGGAGAGCTGCTGAAATGAAAGCCTTTGCCCAAGAAAGTCCTAGATCCCAGCCTGTGAGGCACTAGCGCTGTGCAACCCACTCCTGGGTACTACTAGCGCTGCTGGTAACTAACTCATCCAGTAAGATAAAATCTGGCAGCTTTTGACCAGTCTCTTCCTGTGCTTTGCTGCCACCAGCTGAAGCACTGCTTCCTACGCGCCAGCCTAAGTTATCTACTGAAAAGTAAACTGACTTCCTCTTCCCTATACCGATTAACAGACTGCTATCTAAAAATGTAAATCCTACCTTAGGCTTGTCAGTGCTAGATTAAACAAACCCACATCCTTTAAACTCATAACAGCACTCAGCTCTTTCCCCTCTCCAGTTTGCCTGCACTGACAGTAGTGCCTCTACCCACCCGCTGCTGGAGCCCCACCACAGCAGATGCCACTGGATAGCTGAAGTACAGTTTGATACTTCTTAATAACCAGAATAATATTCCTCTCCGCCTCCTCGTTTGCAAGAGTACTGATGATAATTCGGGACACCCAGTAAGACCCAAACTCTTTTTTACATACTTCACTTCCCCTTCTTAAGTAAAAGGTACGCTTAATTTCCAGTGCTGCACTTGGTAAATAGATACTCAGCGCTGCTTTCTGAACCACTTTCAGGATCGAAATGAAAAAAAATTCTGTCGCACCAATAAACTTGCATCCCTCCCCAAAATGTTCTTACCAAAATAACACACAACCGTTGAGATCAGTTTTTCAAGCAGGTATGGGCAAAAACATGGGATTGCCTAAGTTTGCTTATCAAGATGCTGACACTGGCCAAAATCCTAACAAAGTCCATGTACCGCGTACACTCTTTCCTTATTGTCCACACTTCCTCTTTCAAAAAACATAAAGTGGCTTCACAATCTAAGCTTGATAAATTGGTGTCAGCTGTATCGAAATGAGACCTGATAAAACTTCTCTCACTTCCAAGACACAGCGGTTCCCAAAAGCGTTTTTCCCCTCAGGTATTTCTTCAAGCTCTTCCCCCCCCCAGCTTTAATGCAAGACTTGAAAAAGAGAAAAGGAAAGGCTGTTGCTTTTCATTGACCAAACCAGCCAGCTCTATAGGAACACGCTAGATGAATGAAGAGCAACCTTAATTTAACGTTGCCTGCTGCCAACAACTATCAGCTATCGCCCAACTACCGGAGCATCAGGACCCTGTCAGGGTCATCTCCTGTGCCTAGTAGCATCTTAGACAAGTAATACGATGGACCAAAGTGCTCACTAGTGGACTTAGAGCGATGTCAAACAGGGTTTTTTTAGAGCAGGAACAGGAGAAAGGAATCTTCCCTCTCTTAGCGCAATGAAATTACACTTAGTTCTTCCTCCCTCTTGACCCAGCATTTACTATTTTGTAAGAAATGAAGAATCTCAGCAAAAGGGGTGAAGAAAACCACTGAAGAAAAAAAACGTTATGATGGTACCAGAGTGTTCACCCAGGGAGAGAAAACATATCCCTTCACATCTTAGAATCATAGAATCATAGAATCATTAAGGTTGGAAGAGACCTCTAAGATCATTGAGTCCAACCGTCAACCCAACACCACCATGCCCACTAAACCATGTCCCTAAGTGCCTCATCTACACGTCTTTTAAATACCTCCAGGGATGGGGACTCAACCACTTCCCTGGGCAGCCTGTTCCAATGTTTCACCACTCTTTCAGTGAAGAAATTTTTCCTCATCTTCCCCAAGCTGGGCGATGACTCAGCCCACCAAGCACCTGAGCGGAGCTATGTACGCCTTCTCCTCAGCTCTTTTCCCATGCAGTTCCTGAGACTTTTCTTGGGCTACACCAGCACCTCGGTGCTGAGCATCACGCGAGCATTTCTGAGCACACCCGGACGCACTGCAGTCACTTAGGGATCCTTCAGCACCTCCACAGCTGAGATGGCAAGTTTTGGGCTACAAATGGTGACTAAGTATCTAAACTATGGATTTCTAACATTGCCCAGGTATCTGATTTTAAAATCTCTCACTGGTTTAGGCTGTGTTATTAGAATCTGCAATTTTTTTTCTACGGCAGCAATACTCCACTAGTGTAGAAGACACTCATAATGAACTCACACCTACTGTTGGGAATACTCCATTTATTTCTAGCTTCCAAGAACAAGACATGAATTACTACACTTGGATTTTTGTTTCACAGAAAGCTTAACAACAGGAACAGGGAAAACATTCCAAGATATTAGTTGTAGGTCATGTAGCGGGGGGTAGCACTGAATTTTGCATACGATTTAATGACTTTGTTCACTGCTTCTAAGAAGTCTTTCTCTGTTGCGATTTTTCTGCGTGCTCGGATAGCAAACATGCCTGCCTCCGTGCAGACACTGCGAATCTCAGCACCTTTGAAAGAAAGGGATAAACGAATTCAACACTGACCACCAGTGGAGATGAAGCATACACAAAATTGTTTAAAAAAAAATCAGCTTACCTGTGCTATTAGGACACAGTCGAGCCAATAGCTCAAATCTTATGTCTCTTTCAACACTCATCGAACGAGCATGTATCTTGAAAATGTGAGTTCGCCCCTGAAAAAAGAGTGGAGGATAGAAGTGTTCACGCTGCGGGAGAGGTGATGACTCTCAGCTGTGTGTGCAGCTGTCCACATCCACAGCAAGGGCAGGTGGAAAAGAAATCTTTTATTTGCTGCCCAACTATAGTTTCCTATGTCTGGACTAGCATGTTTAAGTGTCCATGATACTAAATTAAGAAAGTAACTTAAAAAAGAGCCTTCATGGTAGAAGTACCTCACGGAATCTCTCTCAAAAGAGCAGAACAAAACGCATTCCAACTTAAGAACTAAATCATGGATCTGGTTAAAGGATTCTTAATCTGTTGAGTCAGGAATATACAGTGAATATAGCTATTTACCATGGCTTCTTCCCCAGGGATGGCATCCCTGCAGCATGGGAAAGCCTTTTTGGCACATCTTTAATCCCCCAAATTTCCACGTAGTTTCACGTAAGTTAAGAGTGCTGCTTTTGTTAACTCTCGTCAACTGCTTCCAGACAATTATGCCCTAACTGAAGAAACACTGCGATACCAGAATATATTTAGCTGTGAAAGAAAGCATTCTCACCTCAAGATCAGGCAAGCTAAATTCTATCTTCCTATCCAACCTGCCGGGCCTCATCAGGGCTGGATCCAGAGTATCGGGTCTGTTTGTAGCCATCAGCACTTTGATGTTGCCTCGTGGGTCAAAACCATCCAACTGGTTGATCAGCTCCAGCATAGTACGTTGCACTTCATTGTCACCCCCAGCCCCATCATCAAAACGAGCACCTGGAGAGAGGAGACACACGTGTTTCACAAAATAAGAGAGGGACCTTCAGAGCATGGAGGAGGTGTCACAGCTGCTACATAGAAGACACCTGGAAAAATAATTTTCAATTACACACAAATATTTGTGACAAGTTTTAAAAAGGTGTGAGGGGTTATTTGAAAACAACACATTTCAAAAAAAGTGAGTGGTGTTATCTGTCAGTTGTAATAAGCGCTGTATCTTCACCCCGAATATGAAAGGGCCTGTCTCCCTGCCTAGTAACTGGCCAAGCTGCTGAAATTTATAAATGTAGTTTGTTTGTTTTGCCCCCCCTCAACCAAAATTCCCTCCTCGCCTTGTCTGTGTAAAAATTGTTCTACTTTCAAAGGACCTAAGTACTTCCTTTGGGGGGAAAAAAAAACCCACATTTCGTTTTCAGGCATCAGTAAAGATTTAGTGTGTAGTCCCGAAGCTGAATGGAGTTTAAGTTAACAGTACTTTTTGCAAACACAATACAGAGATTCTTCACTGAAGTTTAAATAATCTGGGTGTTCCAAATGTGCAAAAATGACTTCTCATCTGGGCTAAATACGTTCAAATTATATAAACCGCTTCTTGACAGCTTCCCGGACATAGGATGTGCTGGTAGTCGTTTTGCTAAATAGGTATTTACAAGCACAATTCTTGAAATGCAGCAATCCAGATAAAGAATTACAACACGAAAAGAAAACCTAGAAGTTCTCATATGAGATTAGAGCTATACATACTACAAACATACCTCCAATGGCATCAATTTCATCAAAGAATATAAGACAAGCTTTTTTAGTTCTGGCCATTTCAAAGAGTTCACGAACCATTCGAGCTCCCTGAAAGCAAAAATCAGGATTTTGTTAAAGATTCAAGACACATTGAAGAAAAACTATCACAATTAAACTTTTCACGTTTCCAAACACTTCCAAGTTTCCAGTGATAAAACTCTTTTATTTGTACACATGTATGTAACAGAACATTCATAAATCCTAAAGCAATTTATAAAGGAGAGACAAATTACTACTCTCAAAAGTCAGAAGTACAGATGAAGTCATTTACCTCAGGGCCAAGTGAAAAATAAGTGGCAGGGTTGGGAATGGAATCCTAATCCTAGAACCCTCCCGAACCACAGATTAAACTCTGCACCGCAAAATCCACTTCATCAACGACAGCACAGTTCAGGTCTTGTAACTGATTGCCTGATCTGCAGAGATTTATTTGATCATTCCTCCCCTCTCCTTGTATCTCCAGCATGCAAGTACATTCATCCATCATATCCACTATGGTGTCTGGTCCCCGCGACTAGAAATCTGCAAATCACTCCACACTCCATCAAGTGTTTGCTCTTACCTCTCCCACATACTTCTGCACCAATTCAGATCCAATTACTCTGATGAAGCAGGCGTCAGTCCTGTTAGCAACAGCACGGGCACAAAGTGTTTTGCCTGTACCAGGTGGCCCAAACAAAAGTACTCCTTTGGGAGGCTCAATTCCAAGGTTAACAAATCTTTCAGGCTGTAATGGTGGGAAACAGAAGGCGAGGTGATGTGCAAATTGAAGATTATGTGCACCAAAGAGTATATGCAAGTTAAGAAAATAATCAATGAAGAGCAATATAAACCAGGCTAGGCTGGATTTCACTTGTTAAAACTAGATCTCCTTTCACTTAGGTGTTTACGTTCAGCTACATTATCTTTTCTTGCTTTTTCAAATGCTAACAGATGACCCGCATACTTTCAAAATAATAAAAGCTTCAATCTGGAGGTTACTTACATGAAGCAGAGGGGTTTCAACCACCTCTCTCAGCTTTTCAATCTGCTCTTTACAACCACCAACATCACTGTAAGTGACGTCTGGTTTTTCTTCTACCTGCACAACAAAAAGGTGAGCGAGCAGTTAACAGCCTGATGCTGCATCTCTCTAGGCTTTCAAGAGCCCAGAACAGAATCCAGCCAAAGTAATCAAAATTACAAGAGAAAGTAATGTCCTAATAAGTAAAGGCAGTTCTCACTTGCATCATGGTGACTGTGGGATCAATCTTGGGAGGCAAGGGGATATGGATTTGATACTTGTTTCTGTCCACCCTGGTGAGAAAGCATAAAGACTATTATTTTAACACCGGTTAATTAAACTGTCATGTAGAAACAACTCCGTAAATTAGAAGCTGAATTCTTAAACTGTTCTTTTCTCTGGCATCAAGACAGCCCAGCCCTGAAAGCTAATAGTCAGATGGGCTAGAAAATGGAATTCCTTCTGCAGAGAAGTTTAAGGTTTCCAAAAATATTAATTCCAAAGTATTTTGAAAACTAAACTTCAAAATATCCCACAGAGCAAACTGGAAAAATATTGATTGTAAAAGTAACTGGCTTCACCTCCTCAGCGAACATTTCTTGTAGCCACCCTGCATGTAACTGTGCAGACTGCCAAAGAGTAGGCTACGCAGGCTCCCTGAAAGCTGGGACTGCTGGGACCCAAACTGAAAGGTTTCAGTCCGTGACGCACGGTTCTCGTCAGAATGACATCAAAATCAAAAGATTCCAGCACAGCATGCAGGTGAGTTACTGTCCTCCAACAGAAAGACATTAGTGTTATAATTTCAACTACTGCAAAAATACGAAATGATAGTTGTTGACCTGTCAAACTAATGGATCAGATGAGAAAGCTTCAGTCTCCAGGACAGCTCGTAAGAACGTGAAGATTTTACTTACCCAACTCTCATGCCTTCTTCTATGTCAGTAGGTGCCACCTGGTCACTCAGATCCACCACGAATTTGGCAAACTGCTTGACATTGATAATGTACTTGGGATCCTCGGAGTCTGCATTGATTATCTTTGTACATCTAATAGGGAACATGCAATTAACACCACCGGGCAGACAATTGGTATAAGCATCAAGATGAGAGAGTCGTATTTTCCAAATACACTGAAATAGCTATTGTACTTGCGATTCTATTATTATAGCATCCTACAATAACTACAGGAGTAAGTACAGGTGTGAAGTACATAATACATCATCAAGCATAACACAGTTCCTTTTTGACGCAATGGTAAAAAGCACTTGCAATAGGCACAACACGTGAACCTTATTTTTTTAAAAAATCTACACATAAGCCATAAATCACATTTTTACACTATGCAGCTCCACTGCAAAGAGGAAGAGTGCACCCACCTCGCAACTTGTAATGGTTGCTCGCTTTGGAGAGTTTGCTTATCTGCAGCCAGATCCCAAAGGGCAGGAGGAGCCAGGCCAGTGTCGGATTCCTTGATTCCTGTGTACAACACAGACAAGCTGAGGAGGAAGCAGCTAACTGGTACGTCAGCAATCCTTCCCACACCAAGAACCCTAGACATAAGCCTGTAGGAAGCTTTTTGAGATCTCCAAAACACACGCACACACATCTTTGATGGACTTCCTAAAAACCAAGTTTCCTAAAGAAATGAGGCCTATGTGACTGTGCCAGCCTAACATGCAAATACCAGTCTAGCCATCCTCTAATACGATTTTGCAACGTGTGGTCAATTACAACGAAGCTTGACAGAGATATCAGAGATAAGCACATTTCTAAAAGTTTCAGAAAAGGAGTGAAACTCTGCAAGTGCTTTCACCGAGGGAAAGCTTTAGTGCAAGGTATCAGCAGGTAAGGGATTCACACAGATGAAAAATCTTATAAATCTTCCACAACGTGGATATAAAAAGGACCATCTCCATGATGTATTTGAAAGAATCAAGGATTTTACTGGAAAAGAGAAACTGCAGTCTTCCTGACAGAACTGAGGGCCACTAAAGGATTAGCAACAGGGCAACAAACACACATCAGTGAAATAAACAGAGAATAATTAGGCAACAAATTAATTTTTAAGGTAACCGCCACAGCTGGCCAGCTGACTTTAAATGCTAACTGCTCTGATACGTATTTCTTCATTACACAAGGACTGGTACCACCACTTAAGGACAACACGTTGGGTTTTTGCCGTCTATGGAAGTTCACTCACTATTTGAATGCAGCTTGACACAAATCACAACGAATTATCTAATGGCAGAAAGGGGCATTTGTTTCATGCCACCGTAATACACAGAAATTACAGTTTTGAATAAAAACGTGTTAAACTACAAAATTACATAATCATATGTACAGATTAGCCCTGCCCAATCAAAAAGACCATCACCTACAAAGCAAAAATCTCACGTTACCAAATAAAGAAATGTATTCTTCTGAGAAAAATAACAATAATAAATCAATGCAGTTGTTGTTTAAAATCAGCTTCTTAAAACACTCGTTTTGCTACACGTGGTTCTATTGAAAGTTATCTTAAGAAAGAAAGATACCAGTGAGCTCATTGATTTTCTTAAGTAGTTGCTGAATATCATCTTCTACTTGCTTGATCTGCCTTGAGTATGTGCTCTGGCCCTGGAAAAGAAATATCATGTGTATTTCGTAACTCCAATTATTTTATGTTTAGGAAAAAATGCCAATAGCTGCTGAGCGTCAAGACGTTCAATAGACTGTCTCGGTATAACAGCCAACTATTGATCACAGCCAAAACAGACAGTATTAAGTTCCAGTAACAATATTTCTGTTCACAAAAACAGAGTGCAGCTACACACAACTGACTGATTGCGCAAGTGGAAATTTTTCACATTTGTAAACTTCAAGGATTTGTTTTTCTTTTAAACCTGTTCAGCCTTATTTTTTAAACTACTTTTTCTTCTAAAGTTTAAAAGAGACTTGGTAAAAATTATATATAGACAGAATTCTGTATGCGTTATCTGAAAATCATCTGTACGAGTGCTTTAACTACATTACCTAACCTTTCTATCATCCACAGAAGACAGCAGAAAGATCATGGGGCAAATCAGAAGCTAGATTGTTGCTTGTGACAAAATGCCTTACTATCTTGCCCTGCCTAATGCAGGCAAATCTGGATCTGGATTTCCTTTACAAGATCCCCTTCGTATCAACTTGGCAACAAAAAAGAAGCCGCAGTGGGCACAAGCCATTATTTCAAGAGTTTCGTAAAAGAGTCTCAGTTACAACAAAATTCAGGCTTCTGGCAAACATATCCAAATCCAGACATACGCTAAGCTGCAAGTTTCATTTTTCAAGAGTTCTTTCACAGACCCACTGTACTTCCTGGTGGAGAGGGGAGATTTGCTTTTTACGCCTTATTGTCCATGGAAAATGCCTCCCAAGATTACCTTCCTTTTGACAAGGTCCGTGTATTCCTCACTAATAGTTTTTTAACATGGTGGCTAAAAGCAAGTAAATTTGATGGGAGAAGGGATCTTAAAGTTACTGTTCTTTATAAAGCAAGAAAATGGGTTAGTGAAAAAGCCCTAGTAAAGCCCTAGCTGTTAGACCCCTGTGACAGTCAACTACGCGATACAAAACAAAAATAGAAAAAAAAAACTTCATTACTTTCAAGCTAACAAACCTACTGGATTATTTTTAGGGTTGTGGGTTGGGTTTGGGGCTTTCTTGTTGGAAGGCAGAAAGGGAGAAAAGATTTCGGCAGGCGAGAAAAGCATCAGGAGAAGCAGATTTACTAACTACTCACTAAGTACACATCCCTCCACTCTTGCATTCAGTTCCTAACAGGACTTGCTTTTTTTCTTTAACATTCTTGTATATATATGCTACTTACATATGTTTTCAGCAAGGCAATATCTCCTTCATCCAGAGCTGAAACAAGACAGGAAAGACTTAGCTTCCAATTTTATAAACAAAACCAGCAGTATCAATTCTGCTTCTAAAAGGTGAAAACATTTATTTTAAAGGGATTCTTCTACTTTTTCACTAAACCAAAGCAGAACAAAAAAGTATCGGACATTCAAGAAAAACAACATAGGGTCTCCAGCTACCCTCTTCAGTCCAAAAATCTGTACCACCCAGAGTTCACAGCAAGCAAGCTACTTAAACTTTGCCTCGCTCAGAGTAGCTTACTATGACTGTACAGAGAAGCAATTGAAGATATCAAAAATTCATCTTTTTAACTGTTTCTTAATGTTTAAGAAAACATCAATGAAAAACTGTCACCACTTTCCACTTGCACTTTACGTGAATATTTCTGTCAGTTTTTTTGAATCCCTGTAAACTTTGAGCAACTTTCAGCAGAATATGCAGGAAGGAATGCCCCGATTTAAATCAGCACTGTGCTTCCTTTTACTCAATGTAAACTTGGAATCTAAAAATTGTACTTGGGTCTCAGAATTCCCACATCAGAACAAGCACCGTCAGCTGTTAAAAGGGTAAGCTTTTGCACAGAGTCCTGCAGGACTGCTCCAATAAACGCTCTCAAATAACTAAGAAAAATATAACTTTCTACTACTGTGAACCCCTATTTACTTTCATATCACTTACCATTTAACAGACCTTTAACATTCCCTCTCCCTTCCCCCAAAAGCTCCCTCTTTTCCCAACCAAACGATAGTCTTCACCTTAAGCATCCCTGGCCCTCTGTTTTTCTCTCTTTTCTAATTCCACGGTATCTTTTTATGATAGAGGGAGCTCAAACCACACAGTATTGAAGATCTGGGCACACCATGTATTGTACGGTACTTTGAGAGGATTTTTTTTGTGTTGATCCTTATTTCCTTCCTGATTATTTGTACTAACCCATCGATTCTTGGTATGTGCTAAACACTGTTGCTACAGTTCAAAAATCTTTCTTGAGCGGGAGGAGTTCGAAGTCCATCACTGATTACATATAGTATCGATTTTGTCTCCAGATGCATTAATTAGTATTTACTAGCATAAAATAGAAAGGCAAATGAAATTCAAACATGAGGAGCAACCGGCAATTTTCACACTATGCCGGTATCACCACAAAAATTTGCCACCTCACTCTCTCCCGCTTCCACTGAGTGACTTATGAAAGTGGCAACGCACAGGTCTCGACAGCCACCTCCGCAGGACTCCGCCAACGAAGAAAAACAAATTATCGTGTTTTATTAGGCTGATCTTTTAACTAATCACTAAATACAAAAAGCCTTTCATTTTACCAAGAGGAGATTATGCTTTTCGGGAGCCTTTTACGGGAGAACCTTGGGGAGCCTTGGAACCAGCCAAGCCAGCCTGC